GAATATCGTGGAGAAGCTCATTCATTTCAGTAATTCAATTTACAAAACGTGAAACTCATGTATTATATAGATGTATTACACACAAGGTGAATTATTTCAAGTGTTTATTTTAATCTTGATGATTAAAGCTTACAGCTAATGAAAATGTGATTACTACATAAGACCAAAACAAAAAGAGATTTTTAATACAGAAATGTCAGCCTTCTGAAAAGTATGTTCATATGTTTGCACTCAGTACTTGGTTGGCCCTCCTTTTGCATAAATGACTGCATCAATGCGGCGTGTCATGGAGGCAGTCAGCCTGTGGCTCTCCTGAGGTGTGATGGAAGCACAGGTTGCTTTGATAGCGGCCTTCAGCTCGTCTGCGCTGTGGGGTCCCGTGTCTCTCATCTACCTCTTGACAATACACCATAAAGCCCTTCATGCTTCCCTCTTCTGAAAAGACTGGAGATGCTGATTTCCTTTTCCAGCAGGACTTGGCACCTGCCCACACTGCCAAAAGTACCAATACCTGGTTTAATGACCATGGAATCACTGCGCTTTATTGGTCAGCAAACTGACCTGAACCGTTATGGGGTATTGTCAAGAGGAAGATGAGACCCAACAATGCAAACGAGCTGAAGGCTGCTATCGGATCACCCTGTGCTTCCATCACACCTCAGCAGTGCAGCTGGCTGATAGCCTCCATGCCACGTCGCATTGATGCAGCAATTCATGCTAAAGAGGCACAAACAAGTACTGAGTTCATACACATGAACATACTTTTCAGAAGGCCGACATTTCTGTATTAACAATCAGTTTTTGTATCAGTCTTATCTAATATTCAAATGTTCTGAGATACAGATTTTGGGGTTTTCATTAGCTTAATCACAAAGTTTAAAACAAATAAACACTGGAAATAATTCACTTCAGTTTCACCTTTTAATTTCAATTAATTACATTTTTACAAAATTCAACTTTACTGAGATGTAGTAGTATTACACTTGTTTTGTTTATTCAGATTCTAAACTAATACATTCTGAAGGGAACTTAAGCACATCCAGATGTCTCTCTCTGATCCTGAAACAAAGAGTGTGTGTATAAAACCAAGATGTGCTCACCTTGTATACAGCTATCTGCTCTCTATCCAGTGGTTGTGTGAGGTACAGAATGCCAGAGTCTCTGTCCATGGTGAACAGGCCAACAGGATCCTCATCAGCTCCTGGACCAGTGATGCTGTAGAAGATCTTCTTTAACTTGTCCTCATTGGATCGGATCTGAAAAAAAAGCAACAAGGCCGAGTTAGGGCTGAATACATGAGTTACAATAATGCAAAAATATTGTCACAATAGTTTTAATTAAACTGCATTAACATCTCTGAGATACAGCCACCTCAGTCAACTTCACAGGGATGGGGTCATATCAGCCACAGAGCACCTGAGAACAACCATACCATTTCATTTCATTTCCTGAAAGGACGATTGGACTTTTCATTAGAAAAGCAACTTTTTGTACAATAAAACAAGGTGATTGTTTTGTTTGAATTAATGTAACATTGGCTTTATTTTGAGAGCAGTGGAGAGAGATGAACACAAGAACATTTGAAGCTATATTTAAATTGACATCAAATCGAAAAAAAGAATCTGAGCAGAATGACAGCAGCAGAAACCATGAAGGAGCCCTCCTTTACAGAAACGGATATTTAAAATACAGATTAGAATGAAGGGGCTTTAGTTCCTCTTACCTGAGAGACTCTCAGTGGGAAGGGTCCTCTGACGTTCTCAGAAACACTGATGACAGGAATGACCCAGTCTCTTTTCCTCCTCCTCAGCCCTGAACTAGCTTTGCGGAAATGCAGAATGGGCACCGGCTGATCGGCGACACTCTGAAAGAACATGCTCATAATAGTCAGTTATTTTGCAGCAGACATTCCACATTGGACTCATTAGCCTAAAATGCTCAAACAGAGAAGTTACAATGACAATGAAGAAATATCTGATCATGTTACTTTCGTACTATATCCTATTATATACTGTGTCATTTCTGACAGAATGACTTTAAACTATTTTATTCATCAAGGCTAAAATAACCTAACACACAAGACGAAGATATACACAAAGCCTTTTTTTTTTTTTAAACTGTTATACTAATACTTATCTCATCATCTCTTTAAACAGCAATGGTTATTGCAAAGAGTCCCACAGGACCAGAAACATTTGCAGAGAAATTTAATTATAGCCTTCATTAAACACATAAGGTGCTAAGAAGTTTGATATAGGCACTAATAAACAAATAAGTAGTCCTAGTATCAATCTAAAATGGCTTAAGGACATACCTATGAAAATACTCAATAACTAAATGGAAGCAGTGAGTGTTGGCTATTCATACGCAGCCACAGAGGGGCAGTGTTGTTATGAACAGGTCCTATTGCAACAGACACTTTTATTTTGGTGTATGTATGTATGTATGTATGTATGTATGTATGTATGTATGTATATATTATATATAATATATATATATATATTATATATATATATATATATATATTATATATCATATATTTAGTATTATTGTTTTGAAAATAGTTTTATTAAGACTAAAAATGTATTCTCAAACATCCTTGCAATAGTGTCACTAATCCTACCTGAGTCTTATTAGCAGGGTCCACTTTAGTATGGTGGTGATGATGGTGCTGGTGGTTGTGGTCTCCATGGTGATTGCTATGATGCAATACTCTGACAGGAACACTAATTTTGTGTCCTTGAGAGGTCCAGGTGTGGACGAAGAAATCCTGGTTCCCACGAATATGTACAAGTTCTTTCACCTGGAGGGAGGACAACAGTCATCATCCAAGACATACATGCACCAGATTGGTGCAATAACTTTTAAATGTAGCCTACAAAATAGACTGTGAATATTGCTGTATTTTGCAAAACGCAGGATTGTAGCACAACAAGGAAGTTAAAGCAGTGCTGTGCTATTTAAAATGTGAATGTTCAATACAAATATTCTGTCACAATATAAATTAATAATGGTTATAAATTGTAATCTCAATGACGATCAAATTTTGAAATTGAGCCTTACATGTGTACTGACCTTCAGTATGCCGTCTCCCTGTACCGTGAAATGTCTGTCATCACTTTTGAAGACAAATATGGTGCGGTCTGTGCAGTCAGTGAAGGCCACTAGAATTAAACAGAAGAAATGGTCATACATTACAAATGCAGTACATGCAGAGAAACACAGCAAGAGCTGGCAATGGAGAAAAGCGGATGTTCTAGGAACAAAAAAAAAGTCAACTAAAGAAGCACTTTCTCGACACTGGATTAAAGAAAAGAGTGTATTTATAACTTATTGATGGCCAGGAAAGCAAAAGGATAAAATAAAAGAGAAAACTAATTAGATAACAGGGTCAGATTTCTGCAGCAAGACTAAGAAGAGATTCTACCCGAGATTTGCTACAGGAAGCTTGTGATAGCAAAGAAAAGCCCAACTCGGGCCATGGATCAACCAAAAGACAACCTTTAATTAAAGCGCAGCTCACTCGTGTGCTCTCACCCCCCAACATCTAGCCCAATGCATGCTGGGATATTCTCTAGTGCAACCCTGCACAGGATAGCCAGGCCTTTTTCTAAGTGGCTGTGACTAAGAGAAGTAAAGATGGTGATAACTTTTGACTGCTGTTTTTCTCAGTTGTGACTTTTGGTAAAAAAAAAATCTACTTCTACATTAATATTTTATAATGGAGTAGAATTGACTGTGGTTAAACAAATCGTAAACCTCCCAGGGCAAACCAGAAGCCTGGTTCATTTTGTAGAACATTGTTATAAAGAAGCAAAGATTTCACAATCAGACAAAGACATAAGCCACTATTTGAATAGCACGTCCTGCAGAACAGGCTCGGGGACATTGTTGTACCCTGCAGTTAAGAGCATTAGGTGCAAGCTGAGACCTGAGGTAGTTTGGGAGTGAGAACAATGTGAGCAGCTAATCTGTAGACGGCAATCTGAGTCAGTCGAGCACATTAGAAAAGCTCAGGAGTTTTATCTATGGCTTTAAGTTATAGGTCCAAATGCTATAGTTCAAATGTTCCCATTGAACATGGGAAACAAACAACCACATTTCCTTGAAGTGTTAACCAAAGAGTGAAAGCTTCACAGATTGTTCCTACCTTTTCCCAGTCTTGTGTGTGGCTTCAGGCACTTTGTGACTTTGAAAATGAACCTGCTTGACTTGAATCCAGGTACACATGTTGGCTCTTCGGCAGGCACTAAGGCAGAGGCCTAAGAGAGGAAACAGACTTCAATTCAATCTAAATCCAGATGTAGGGAATATGTGTAAAACAGTAGCTGACAAGAACTGTTATTCAGTCAGACTTTGTTAAGGAACTTTAAAATGACACTCCTTGTTATTAAAAACAGCATACAACATGTATGCCCCATTTCCACAGCATGACTCGGCAGCTCTGCTTAACTCCAATGAATTTTAGTAGCAGATACTTTCTCAGACAGTCCGGCAGGATTCTCAGATGATCGCCGTTACAAAGCAGCATGAAAATGACATCTTTAACAAAACACTTGCTGAATCCTTTTAACAGAAACCAAACAAAGAACCTCTCCACTTAGTCAGCTACTTTATGGTATGCCATTTGACCAAAAACTGGGTTCAGTTAATACAATAATTGAGGTCACTATAGAGTGCCACAGTGACGCGTCCTAACAAGTCATGCCATGACTCATTGTGAAGTGTTTCTCTGTTATGTGCAGCCCAAAAAATAACCCCATGACTGTCATGGGGTTATTTTTTGGGCTGCACATAAAAGATATTTCCATCAGGGATTAATCTCCGTGTTCTTGTTGATCTATGGTCTATGATATAACAAGACAATGTAAAAACAACCAATTGCATTAAAAGTACTGAGATCTCCAGGTGAGTAAGGACTTTCAATTGTGTATTTTGTCCAACCATTTATTAAAATCATATCAAAAAGGTCAGACAAATATATTTATTTATTTTAAAGAGCACTATCAGCCAATTTACATTTTCATATTTGGTAGGTGGTTCAAGTAACAAATGAATAATCATCAGAATTGCTGTGAAGGACTTAACAAGGTTGTTCTAAGAAAATGTGATTCTTTTAAATCTATCATTCACAAAATTGTAAAAGAAACTTGTTCTTGAAATGATTACTTCATCATAGCAATTCATATATAAAAACGACTAATAACTAATGTGTGTATGAAAATAATTCAATTGAGACATGTTGGGCTGGAATTCAACCTGCAGACAACGTCATCATCGGCACAGGGCGAGGCCGGCAGACCTACCGACTCCAGGGTTATGGCGAGAAAGGATCCGTCTTGTGTACAACTCTCGCAAGAGTTTGCAAGTCACGTGGCTGAATGTTTACTTTTGTCAGGCAGCCTTTCAGTTACGATCGTTAATATCAGTGGGCCACAGCAAATGATGGCGAGAAGCTAAACTATCTATTAATGATGTCAATGACAGGGAGTGTGATTGTTGAAATAGGGTGTTAGCGGTCTTGCTGTTCAAAGAAGAATGACAACACTGTAGATCACCAACACTATGGTTTATTTTTAATTCACAGACAAGTCAACGTTGTCGCAGTAACTCCGGGGAAAATATTCGTTGTGGCCAAACGGCATTACTACACTTCCGTATCAGTCGCTGGGCCCGGAAAGACTTTTTCGCTTTGACTAACATCGGGAAAGAGACGTCTGTAAATCGTTGGATAATTTAAACTAAATAAACTACCCAGTATGAACATTTGTATAGCCCTTATTAAAAAACATTCGGTCCTCAAGTTGTAAAATGTGCCAATAACGTTATTCTGAGAGTTATTTTCCTCGGCATTATGAACGCGGATCTAACCCACGGGACCGCGCCGCCCGGCCCGTTCATGGGACATGTTCAGTTCTACATGAGTTTTACCTTTACCCATGGATGCACAATAAGAACGAATTATATGAATACTTTCGTGACATTTCTATCTCAAAAGTTGGGCAATTTTGTCTTCATGCGCTAATGAGCAACTCTCATAGGAATGAAAGAGGCCCCGCCTCCCACGCTGTATCCAGTTCTCACAATGCTCCAGGGAGGAAGAGAGTCAACTCCGAAAATGGCGATTTGGTGCTGCTGGTGCCCAATGGGTTGACAGACTCCTCTACATATTGCTTTAAAATTACTGAAGATGTTTCGCAGCATTGTTAAATGGTCGAATCAGCACCAATTTAAAATTGAATTTTGCCATTACCTCCCCCCAACAACCTGGCCCCTTTGAGTCAAAGTGGTGACAAATACAAAATAATTTACTGGAATAAAAAACAAAATAACTTAACGTTACAATTTCCAAAGACACGAACTTTTCTTAACACATACGAATAGTGTCCTATCAGTATCCTATGGTAAGAAAATGTACCAAGTACATTTATCGACAGAAATGAGCAGAAGCAGTAGAAGAGTTTAAATGAAGTTACAGACGGAAATCTCACCTGAAAAACGGCGATTAAAATTCCCAAAACCGCGAACTGAGCGGTCCCCATCTGCCTGTACTCCGCTTTCAGTATTCCTCGCAATGTAATGAAAAATAAATATATTCCTTGACGGGTTTGCGTCGCGTCTTCTTTGTCTCCTCTCTTGAAGGAAGTTACTGACGAGTGCAGCTGGGCGAGTTGCTGCAGGTACTTTCAGCGTGTGACGTCAGCTCACAGGTGCGCAGGTTCCTGATATGGGCATAGAGGCTGAACACACCTGAGGAGACAGATACCCGCAGTTTCTGTTAGCCTGCTTCCTGTCTATTTAGAGGTAGCAGATATACGACATGTAATATTAGTAGTAATACACTGACAGCGTTCACTGAGCTGTATGTGAGATGAGTGAGCAGCTTTCTGTCTCATTTCCTCTTACTGAAAACCACAGTCTTTCCCCCACCTCCTCTCTATCTCTCTCTATCCTTATATGGTCAGTGTATGTTTTGGTCATTGGATTTTCTTTTCACAAATGGATATTCAAAAACAAAAAACGAGTGGATATTTAATTTTCGTTTTAAAATTGAAAAATCAACATTGAAATACAAGGTGTTTTTCTTTATCATGGAAAAAAAAAAAAGGGATTTACTAAACTTAAAAAAACGGGATGATTTTCATTTTCTACTTCTCAAAACAAAAAATAAAATCACTAGTAAACAGAAACAAAAAAACTAGCGTTTTTCATATTCTGCTACCGGAAGTTACCTTACAAAATAAGAGCGCAGATGAGGTCTGAATCCGTGTATCTCCGGTCTTATTTTATTTTTAAAATCTTTTTGACCAACACATACACCAAATTATTATTTTGTATAAAGCAGTAAAACTTCACAACAGCCATATTAGTTAAACCCAACTAGAACTTCAGCACAGCATTTTAAAAACTAGTTGCATATAACTATTTATTTCCAACCTTATTCTATGTTATCTCCAAGTATTTAAATATTTTACTACCATACAACACAGTACATTTTGGAAAACAATGTTGTACTTTTTGTATTCCACTGCATTTGTTTTACAGATGTATTTACTATGTACTTTTTCAGATTCACACAATACTTATGAAACACTTTTAAAATATGATACTTTACCAATACTTGGTAAAGATGAAAGATTGGCAGCAATCTTGCTAAGAAGTTTGTTGTTCAAATATATTTCACAGTTCCAGTTTCTTAAAAGTGAAGTGCTTCTGTTTTAAATTATTTTTAAAATATTTAATATTTCAATGTTTTTAAAGTTGTTGTTTTTTACTTTTAGTCGTAATACTTTAAGTCCATCTTCCTAATCGTACTTAAATACTTTTACTTAAATACGATTCTCGATGCAGTACTTGGTATTGGTACTTTACCTCAAGTAAAGAATCAGAATACTTTTTCCACCACTGGTTGATTAATTCACACTAGTTAGGCTAGCCACAATAAGGGATTATAGAGCGTTACATGCCAACATCTAAGGAAAAGCAAAAAGACGCTGCAATAACATATTTCAAATAAGCACATGTTGTTTACAAAGTGTAAAAGCCATTAAATATCCTTTTCTTTTTTTTCCTGTTTTACTGTTAATGGAACAAGCTTGCATTTAGCTCTTTTTCTCTAAGCAGTGCTAACGTTAGCTTTATAACATTGCTATTCATTTGTTATTTTATATAAACAAAAGACTATTGTTACTTGACAGCATATCAATACCATATCCTGGAACATCCTTCTATCTTTGTAGAATAAAACGTGTATTTATATGATGACTGGATGCATTTATGATCCTGAAATATCGTTAGCTAGGTTAGCTTGTAGCAGGAACGTCATGCTAGCTAGGGGGCTAGCAGGTCCTAGCTAATGTTTCTCGAATTGTAATACTTTACTCAGATAGCAAACACATTTACAGCACTGTGTCAAATGTAATTAACTTAAATTATTGACGAGGGATAAATCAAGAAAAGCTATACATATTAGTTTACTTACTGTGTGAATCAGACAATCTCAGCTGCAGGCAATGTTAACTCCTGTCACTCCTTTACTATTTAAATCATTAAAAAACTAACTAAAAGTGCTGCATTTTCTATATACACCACACATATATATGCCTGATCAAATTAATTAATTATCGTTACTTGCATAGATCTTTTTACAGCAAAACCATCTCTTAAACGTTCTGTAAAGGCACACTAAAACATGACATTTTGTCAAAGTAACAGGTCTGTCATATGATGGGAATGTAGGCTGTGCCTCAGCAACACTGTCATTTTACACTTGGCATTGATCAGCAGTAAATAAGGGGTGGGAATTAATAAGCATTTCCTTCCTCCTGCTCCCTTTAGGACACATATTATTTATTGTTATTATTATTTTGAATATTTTTGTTGAATATATACATATTATAAAAAAATGTGTTGAATAATATAAATATTATTATGAATATTGATAAATACTGTATTCTAATAATACGGTATTCTGTTTTTCATATATATATATTTTTTTAATATGTTCGAAATAAAGATGGAAAGATGGAAATGAAATGACCTCACAATACTTTGTTTGCCATTGACCAATTATGCAATTTATTGAAATGGAACTTACAGCGGTAATTTGATCTTATCCAAAAACCATTGTATGTGTTGCTTTGTGTGTAACAAAGTGATTGTTCATTCTTAAATCATACTTGCTTACTGCTCATTGTTGTGTCTATCAAAAGAGAAGAAAATAGAGTCAAGGTGAGAATTATTATTTTGAATCCCCCACCGGAAGTAACTATTTTCCGACTGGCTGACTGCTCCATAACCTTGAGTAAAGCCCTGTTTAAAATACAGGGCATGTCTGTACTCTTTGGGAGAGAGCCTCAGATATCAACATAAATCAGTGCTCATTATAGCTTACAGACAAAAAAATCGCGAAAGGTAGTGTGGGTAGATCGCATGTCATTGAAAAAAAAAAATTTTAATTTTAATTTTTTTTAAGTTAGCCTGTCATCCATCCTTACTTACTTGATTGACGTACAGGTAAGCCAGTCTGAGTTGTATTGTGCCATACGGGTTCATGCAGTAGTCCCCCCCGCCCCACCCCAGGGGTTCCGTACAACTTTGACTTAACAGATACAAAATATTAAGTGTTATGCAAAATTCAATTGTAAAACAGTTGCAGTGTCACTTCGATCACACACAATATAATAAAGTCTATAATATATCCCTCTGAAAGCTTCGGATTGGAAAAACAAGAAAAATGGGGGACTTTTTGAAAGCAATTTAGTGATGTTATCTTCTGCACTTCCCCTCCATCAGTCATCCTTCCCATAGAAAGACTGAGGGCTGTGTGGCCAGAAGAAAGACTGGTCAGTTTACAGCGGACACCACTTAGCCTGTGAAATGGTCAATGTGGGACAGAGAGGAAGACAAGTAAAGAGGAAGAACATAGAGGGGGCATGAGAGGAAGGACTCAGTGTCAGGTTACATTGTTAGTTTGTTGATCTAGAAGAGAGGGAGGGGTGTTCACTTCCTTATGACTATAGCTGCCTTTAATGTCTATATTTAGGATTTGATTATTTTAGTATTGGTTCATTAAAGTTTTTAAGGTACACCACCAAGTGGAAACTAATGTGGCCTATTGAAAAAACTAAGAAAAGAAGTAATGAAAATTAAGATAAAAAACCTTTATTGAGCGTGTTCAGATTCCAAAGCATTCAGGTAACGAGTGAACACTTATCCATGGAAATGTAGATCAGTCATCTTGCCCTCCACACACATAACTCATATATTTTTCACAGTTTCTTGCAGCTTTATAAGTACATGTTGATTTTGTAATTTTCAGATTCATTAATTTTGGTTTTACTAGTGAAAATCTGACTGAAGGAACGTCCTATTTCTATATTAGATAAAGCCTTAGTGGGGTCTCCACATTGAAAAGGGAATGTTAAAAATGAGTCTTTCTGTCCTGCAGCAGAAATGCCATCCTTATCTAGGAGTAGAACACCGAGTCAACACAGCTCAGCCCCTCCCCCACTGGGAAGTGATGTTTCACATTCCAGGTGCCCTTCCCCATTGCCAAGGTCCCAACGATCGTCTGCTGCAAGTCTGCTCTTCACCCTTAGGGGGTGGAGGTTCACCTGAAACCAGCTCAGCTCTGGTGAAATAAAACAGAGACATGACTGATCGTAGATTACCTTCAAGAAAGTGTTCCACTCTTTAAGTTAATTTACTAACGGAAAGCTTACTGACAAAACTGAAACGGTGACTTTCATGTATTATGTCAAGAGAATACACATTATTGTGTTAGGTTAGTTGAAAGCAGTAATATTAAGTTCAACCTTATATTTTTTTATTTAAATTTCATATTATTGCTTTCAACTAACCTAATACAATTTTACAACAATTCAGTTTTTTCAGTGTAGCGGTGGACTGTTAGACTTAAATACAGATGTGTAAACAATTTACTAGTTTAGATTCAATACCTTTTTTATAAGTTACTTTTATTTGGGGATTTTATGATTTTTTTAATATTTGTTTTGGGAAATAACCATTTTTTTTCTCCAAAAAATAATATAATAATTCTACTTGGTATTAATGTAAGTGTTACAGTTATAAAATGTACACTTAATTTGAATTAGTAAATACGTTTAAGAGTCGTTTTCAATCAAAGGGTGCATTTGTTGTATTTGTATATATGGAGAATAATAATCATGTCTTTCATCAGTGTTTAATTACCTGAAACTGTGTTTTCGTTCCCTCAGAATGAGCGCTTCATATCTACACAGGGAGCGGTTCCTCTTCAAAGAGTCTTTGCACCGCCATGTTTCTACAGTAGCTGAGAAAAGGCAAACCGAACTCTGTTTCCAAATAGGATGTTTTTACATCACAGAGGGGGAGTCTGTTGGCCACGATGTTATCGCAAAGATGCCGCTAAAAACGATACACTGTCACATTAAAAGTCAACCGAAGTTTCACTAGACCAGACTAACAACATTTCAACAACATGTCCAACACTAAATGTAATCGATTCATATTTACAAAACGATAATTTGTTATTTAACGAAATATGGAAGCTTAAACACATGTCTTATTCAAGTGGAACAAATAACCCACTGACCTTCACTGTGTATCAGCTGAGAGACAACGTTTATTCTGACCGCATTACTTATCTCACTCACTTTTAGTGTTTCTGTCAAACACACACACACACACACACACCCCCACACACACACACACACACACACACACACACACACACACACACACACACACACACACACACAACTAGCAACAACCACAGTGTCCTTCTACTATCATACTGGAATGTAAAACAGTAAAACAGGCTCCCAAACTCCAGACGAACTTGAATCTGGTTAATAGATTAATAGCGAAATCCAGGAGTGGGAGGGAAGGTGATGGAGTATCAGGCAAACAAACAAATAGTGTTCTCAGGGCCGTCCCTGGCCAACTTGAGGCCCCACGCAAAGTTATATGATGAGGCCCTCTGTTTCGCGAGCGTCGTCGTCGTCGACGGGGACGGGGGACGGGACGGGTGCTAGTGGAGCCTCGCAGCGGCGAAATTGTGGCGGGCCACACTAATTGCGCCGCATTTTCGGCTCAGTTGAGGCTCCCTCCACAAGGTGAGGCCCCCTCCGCAAGGTGAGGCCCAACGCAGTCTTGATCGGCCTGTAGGGAGGGACGGCCCTGAGTGTTCATGTACAATCAGGTCACACAGTGACCAGGTTTTACAGGAAGAAGAACACAGGCATGTTCCCCCTCTAAACCCCCGGATATAGCACCATCATCAAATCAAAATGTAACTTTCTTCCATACTTTAGTCTATGATCAAGAAATCCTGTAATGAAATAAACTGTTCATTGTTTTTAAGTCCATAATTATCTAAGGTTAGCATGCTAAACCGCTGAACTAAAATGGCAAACGTAGTTATTGTAACATTACACTGCTAACCATGGCATGGCATGTCTCTGTGGACATATTGCTTTGTTAACATTAGCATTTAGCTCGTACAGCCTCAGAAACACGCTAGTGTGACTGTATTCTAATGCAACGTTAAAAAAACTTTTCACGATCAATGAGTAACTGCAGATCAGATCAGGGAACATCAGTGCAATTATGCTTTTATTTTACTTTGGATCTTTAACAACAAATCACTTGAAGACACAGAAGGATACAAAACACACAAAATCTAAACCTATATGTCATGCTCTGCCCTGCTAATTTGAATAAGAATAACATTCTCAGATCATTGGTCGCTCCTCTTTTTCCTGCCCAGCGGATTGTTGCCCTTTGTCCCGGCCGAACGGTGGCTGCCGAAGGGTTATCATGTCAATCATTAACTGTCAGGTCAATGCTTAGTAAAAGTAGTATCTGTTGACAGCAGAGAGGAACCTGCTGGAGGATTTAAAACTACAGCACCAAGAAAGATTAATGCTCACTCGTAAATGAACTGCAGTGTATAGAATATACAGTGAGAGTCTTCACACTATCTTTGGATACCATTTTTTAAAGCAATAGAAAGATACCTCTGCCAAGGCTAAACTTGCCTATAAAAATATAGTTTTATAATACAACACAATACCATACAATTATTTTCCTATTATGATTTTTAAAAGCTATTTCCTAGCTCATAAAAAGTTAACAATGAAATGATGTGTGTATCATAACAAGGCTAACGCGAGTTAATATCAGTTGCGTGCCTCAAGCTGTATCTGTCGTCCCTGGAAACAGTGGTTATGGTCTGTGAATAATATGCAGCATGTTTAATCGATGCTGCCATGTTGGTGATGTTTTCTTATTTGCTGGTGTTATTTCCATTTGCATGTATAGTTATGAACCCTGAAAAACTGTTTGTTACAGGGCCCTGAAGTAATGTGAAGTTCTTATGATTATTCTTTTTATAAGGATTTAACAGATTTGGTAGAGATTTGTTCTCCTTGAGTGCCATCAACTTTTGTGGATTTCTTTCATGTTGTTTATTATATCAACAATTATTTTGTGATTTATACAATGATTTCTTTTTTTGTTTTTATTTATTTTATAACAATACCACAATATCTCAAAACACATACATACTTCCATTATATGCTAACCTACAGACACATTAGACATTTTTGCATGCACAATCTGCTTCTATTTCCCAAAGTTTGGACATTACAGATGCCATATGTCTCATGAATGCAGTTTTGAAGTCACTTCTTGGGTTAAAAGTCTAACTCCTAGTGGCAACAGATCAGCTCAATTTTATGGCACAGAATACAGAGATAATCCAAGATAATTTACAAAGGTTCTTATTCCAAACCACACTCTTTGCAATATGTTTAATGTACATAACTTCCTTTTTTTCTTTAAAAAATGTATTTAAGGTATACCGTGCTATGATAAATAAGGCAATTCATGTGAATTGATCATTGGAGGTGTACTGAACCAAACACTGTCTGCCTTTCACTGTAATAAGTACATCTCATAGTTCTTTCCACATAACAACATGGAAATAATAATGTTGGAACCTTTTAAAATAATCTTCATCAAAAAAGGAATTATTGAACAAGAAATCCCATTGAATTATTCATAAATCTGAATAATTATGTCCACGTTTCTGAACAGTGAGTGTAAAATGTGAAGTAGGAGCCAGCAAACTCCTGTAGGGAGGACAGATAAATACTCCCTGTGTGTCCTTGGGGGGGCTCAGAGGAGTCCAGTGTTCATCTATACTGTAGGTCTGCAGCTGACTACAGCACAAAAGCACTTCCATTATCCAGTAACACTACAACACTGGACTTCCTGTTAAAAGCCAATCATCAGCCTGTCATAGGCTTTTAGTTCCCATCAAATCTTAATGGCAGCGAGGCGGTTCCTTTTCTGGTTAGAGCTTCACGTGTACACACTCGCAGTCACATGATCACAATGCATGCACTCGCAGGCACAAACAGCTTCAAGTCGAGATCTGATCCACCAAGAGCTAGGGTATAGCAAGTAATGGTGTGTGTGTGTGTGTGTGTGTGTGTGTGTGTGTGTGTGTGTGTGTGTGTGTGTGTTTAAATAGAACATGCCCAATCATGATTGCTTTTTCTGGAATGTTGTGCTGTGGTTTCACCTGACAATGGCCACAGGGGTGGGTGGTGATGGGGGGGGGGGGGTTCATCTTCCTACTCCTGAATAATTGTTTTACCACATTGTTGTTTACTGCATTACCACTAAACTAAAGCCCATGAAATGGCTGCATTGATAGATAAAAGAGTAGATTATTAAATGGATGAGCTTCTGCTTTAAAGAGTACAGTGTGAACATTTATTCTGAACCAAGTATTTGCTAAATTAACCCTTTATTAATCACTTCATCAAATTTGGTTTTGCAGCAGGACAGTACAGATAAATAGGTTAATTACACACAAAAAAGTAAAACTAAAATAAGCATTTAAATACAAATAAAGAAATAGATAATCAAATAGCAACAAAAATGATTAAATAGATAATTGTATGGTAGAGTGATGGGAAGAGTACAATGTTACTGTCCCTCCACCTCAAATACACACACAGACATTTAGTCTACACTTACTACATGTTGGTCATATTCTTTAGCAATACTTCCACATAATTTTGATCTGTCTAAGCTTCTTGCACCACTATCATTTTGTCTTTCTTGTAAGTCAGACATTACTTTCAGTCATGCATGTGAAGTAGTCACAGATGACCATTAAAATGAATATGTAGCATGAATCAAGAGGAAATACAAAATTGTGTTTAATTGTCAAAATGGCATTCACTTCCTTTTATATGAAATGAAATAAACCATGAAATTAAAAAATATATTAAAAAAAGATTTTGTATCTTTAGGCGAACAGCTTCCCCATGAAACTCAACATATTTATATAAAATATATATAAATATATCTGCACCCAGAAAAGACACTTTGTACGTATATCAAAACACTTAAGGTACAACTAAGAATGACTACACTAAAAGGAGTCCAAAATAACTGGCATTAATAAGAGCATACAATTAATTGTTTTTAGGTTTTTAGCTAAAGCAAGATCAAGACAATAAGTCTTCTTGAGACTGCCAAGGCGACACA